GTATTAATTTTATTTTAAATTGTAGCTTGGAATAAATTTTTATAGATTTGGTCCATAATTCTTTCCATTGTTTTGTTGTGACTCTTTCTTTAAAATTTAGTATCCATTTTAATCATAGTTTTTTTTAATTGGTTCTGTCTCTGTGTTATAACTAAGATTTTGTTTATGCACCCTAACAGATGGCACTGGTTTTGTTTACACATTTCAAATTCTGTCATTTTTCTTAATGTCCCTCCTTCATTCTTAAGATAGATTTTATCCTTCCAGCCATTTGTAAATACATCAACCATGGTATATTGCAGCCTTCACTGAATAATTCCTGCTGTATCTTTCATCTGTTCATTGAGTCTGAGTGGACCATGTCTGCATATATACTTCCTTTTTTTTTTCTGCAATTGTCATGAACTTGGTAGACATTTGAAAGCTAAGGGTGAGATTGTTGGGCTTATTATTCCATTACAGATTCTATGCTTTTTTCAAAGTTTGTTAATACAGGTAGTCCTCATTTAACAATGATAATTGGGACTGGCAACTCTGTTGCTAGTTGATGCACTCATAAAATGTGACACCCGCAAGACTGTGCCGACTTACAAGAGTAGTTGCCGTTGTTAAGTGAATTCTGTGCAGTTGCAGCATCCCACAGTCCCAAATGTGATCGCCATTTACAATCTTCATGTCAAAGTAACTCTCAAAACCTTGGCATCTTCAGTTAATAAGGATATTGGACAACAGCTTAATTAATCCAACTGGTCCAGAATGCGGCCGCGCGGGTGGTGATGGGAGCAATGTGGCGCTCTCATGTAACCTCCCCTCCTGCGCGAGCTGCACTGGCTCCCAGTGGTCTTCCGGGTGCGCTTCAAGGTTTTGGTTACTATCTTTAGAGCGCTCCATGGCTCAGGACCAGGATACTTACGAGACCGCCTCCTGCCACCAATAGCCTCTCACTGACCAGTTCGCTCCCATAGAGAGGGACTCCTCAGGGTGCCATCGGCCAAACAATGTTGACTGACGGCCCCCAGGGGGAGAGCCTTTTCTGTGGGGGCACCTACCATCTGGAACGGGCTTCCCCCGGAGTTACGAAACATCCAAGACTTACGCATATTCCGCCGTGCCCTGAAAACATTTCTATTCCAACAAGCTGGTCTGGCCTAACTCTCCCTTTTTAATTGGCTTTTAAACTGGCTTTTAAATTGGGTTTTAAATCTCTTTAGATAAATTTGGATGTTTTTAATCTTTGAGCCTAAATTACTTAATCTGTTTCTTAATAGTTTTTAACTTCTATATGTATTTGTATTTATTATGGCTGTTCACCGCCCTGAGTCCTTCGGGAGCAGGGCGGTATGCAAATATGAAAAATAAAATAAATAAAATAAATAAATTGTTGGATTTCATGGAACCCTTTTGTTCTGACCTAGGCGCTCCCAAACCATAAAGCAGACTCCTTAGCCCGACAGAAATCCCTTTTTATTAAGTTACTGTGAATTTCTCTCATTCACATTCAGCAAAGTCTTTCAAAGGTGAATTTACAGTCACAGACCTTATCTGGCTTGGAGAGCGGCCAGGCCGATATCTTCAAAACTTGGCAAGGAGTCTCGGAGAGTCACAAACCAATTAAGCAAAATAATTGTCTCCTGCAAACACCCCTCTCCTTTTGCTCCTCTTTTATTCCCTCTGGGAGGGGCCATTCATCGTCCACCTGCGGCCTTACTCCCAAGACGATCCTTGTTCCTTAGCTGTTCCCTTCATCTGGCAACTCTGCACATGCGCACACTGGGAACAGGCTTCAGTTGTTCATCTGCCTCAATGATGTCTGACTCCAAAGTCAGTTGATAACTGCCATGCGGCCCTGGTGCCATCTCTGCCTCCGACACAGAGCACTCGTCAGAGCCTTTCCCAGACTCCATGACTGGCCCATGTTCCTCCCCAACCTCCTCACTGTCTGACTCTGCTACCAGCTCTGCTGGCAGCTGGTGGGCCACAACACCTTTCTCATTTTCAAAATAATCATTATATAAACTTCAGGATATGATAAGGGCAAGGCCCTCTTTTCAAAAGACTCACGAGATATCGCTAACAATACAGAACCAGGATTTCTTTATACTGTCTGTGCCACTGAGTAAGGATCCCATCCAGGGGTGAAATCTAAAATTTGTTACTACTGGTTCTGTGGGCGTGGCTTGGTGGGGGGGTAATGTGACTGGGTGGGCATGGCCATTTTTTTTTACTTTTAAAACCATTTTTTCTACAACCTCTTCGGCGAAGAGGTTGTAAAAAAATGCTTTCAAAAGGCTCTGACGATCCCAGCTGAGTTGCCTGATCGGCAGAGACTTTTTTTCTTTTAAATGCCTCTGATGATCAGGCAACTCAGCTTGGATTGTCAGAGGCATTTAAAAGAAAAAAAGGTTTTTTTCTTTTAAATGCCTCTGCCGATCAGGCAACCCAGCTTGGATCGTCAGAGGCATTTAAAAGAAAAAAAAGGTATTTTTCTTTTAAATGCCTCTGACGATCCAAGCTGAGTTGCCTGATCGGCAGAGACTTTTTTTCTTTTAAATGTCTCTGCCAATCAAGCAACTCAGCTTGGATCGTCAGAGGCATTTAAAAGAAAAAAAGGGTTTCTTTCTTTTAAAAGCCTTTGATGATCCCAGCTGAGCCGCGCGATCATCAGAGTAGTTTTTTTTTATTTTTTTTAGCATTTTTTTTTCGGCTGAAGAGGTTGTAGAAAAAATGCTTTTAAAAGTAAAAAAAAACTCCTCTGATGATTGTGCGGCTCAGCTGGGCATGGGGGATGGGCAGGGATTTTTGCTACCGGTTCTCCGAACCACCCACCTCCATCGCTACCGGATCGGGCAATCCAGTCCGAACCGGAGCATTTCACCCCTGATCCCATCCAGCCCAGGTGGTTTATATAATATCAAATGTCTCTTGCAAAGTTAGAGTTGCAGCTGAACCCCTTGAATGGACATACAAAATTTTAGGAAAATTTATGGTGCTTGAGGAACCATCCATCTTAATATTCTGCATTTGCAGAATACATTCACACGGTGAATGTGAGTGGGATGTACATTTTAGAAAGAATGAATGAAAGAGTGAATGAACAGAACTCATATATCATCGAGGCAAATCTATTTCATGAATTTCCCATTACTGTTCCAGGCTACTTTTACATTTCGCAACTTCCTTTGCATATCAATTTTTCAACCTTTCTCAGATATTCAGCATTTAAAAATGTGAACACTTCAAGTAGCGGATAATAAAACGTATTTTATTCTGACATTTATATAGGAATGCAATAGCTTTTTCTATGAAAACAGTTCTGAGATTACTTTATCTCCTGTTACAAACTTCAGATCTGCAGAAGGGACATAACTGAAGTGTCACAGCTTTTGGAGGCTTCTCTTTCAGATAGGTGGGAGAGGTCCTCTCTGTGGTCCTGTCCACAGGCTATGAAACAGAGAAATCAAGCCAGAGGCAATTGGGTATATATAGTACTAAGTTAGCACCTCTTGATTCTTTGGAACATCTGGTCTAATGAGTTGCAGTGCCTCTCTCTGAATATTTTCTGCAGAACATTGAACGCATTAATTGTCAGAATAATATTTACTTCTGTCCGCAAACTATTCACTCTCTCCCAACAAAAATTCTCTTATATTCTTTCACTATTGGAACTTGTTTTTTTTCCCAATCATGTTATCCTGCTGGAACTGCTGAAGTATATATGGTTATACCTTTATGCTCTCTGAGCTTGGTTGTTTTCTGCAGATGTTTTATAACCAAGCTATGTAAAATCATCAATGCTAGTAAGGAAGCAGTTAGGTATTTTGGTCATGAAATGGCTGCAAGAAAACCATCAAGCTCAGAGAGCACCAAGGACTCCACAGTTCAACCCTGAGCTGCAAATATTTTCTTCTACTGGTTACACCTTCACTTGCTCTCAGTAGAGATACAGTAGAATAATCAGGACTACTGGTTGGGATTTACCATTGTGTATTTCTCTCTGCCTCTTTGTCTGGGATTATATTTTTTTTCCTTTCCAAATAGGAGGCATGTCCATGCCGTAGGAAGGTATTCCTTAGAATGACAGGTAATGTTTACACTTATCCTGAAAATCATCAGAGAACTCATTCCCTTAAAAACAATTCTTTTGATTCCAAATGGTATCTTCCATGTACAAGAAGAGATTAAGAAAGTGCTTGGGGAAAAAACAGGTTATTTCTCCTCTAAATCCTTAGAGGAAATTAAAATTACATCAAGAAAACCCTAAACTGCCCCAAAAGAACTAAATTAAACAACAAGACAAGATTCAATTTTGTATTGGGATGGCGGACAGAAAAACAAGAGGAAGGAAAAAGATTTAATTGGCCTTCCATTCACTGCAGTAGTGAGTTCTAGTTTTTTTTTTAAAAAAATGTTCTAAAAGATACACTTTTTACATGTCAGAATAGAACAAGTATTCAGTTCTAAATCCCAATCTCAATCAGCTATTAGATACTGAATATTGATTATACAAACTGACTCTTCACAGCTTGAAACATGTCAGTGTTGCAGTTTTTATGGGGGAAGTAGACTCCAATCCTTCTTAATCTTTACTTATGACAGCCCTTTGTCTTAACGGTGAAGACTCATCTCCAGAAATCTCATTGGGGGTGTTGGATGGCTCCCTGCCTGCACGGATGATCTTCCTGTGGCTTTCAATTCTATAATTCTACCTTAAGTAATTTAAGTGTAAGGCTCAACACAGATAATTAATACAAAATGTTCATTAGGGTACTAGCGGGAAGAAGTAATAATTTGCACCTGTAAATTAATCATTTAATTAATTAGTTAAAAGCATGAGGGATAATTGATTAAAGATCTTTAATCGGATGATGGTTTGAGTGGCAAACTGAACGCTCCAGTCCTAAGCACACACACATGTGTGAATGGAACTTCACTGGTTTCAGTGGAATTATGCTTCCATTGAATATTTATTTATTTATTTATTTATTTATTTATTTATTTATTTATTTATTCAGTGTGTACCCCAAGATTCGTAAGCCTTGGGAATGACGGGAGAACTTGAAAATCCTGAATACCCTGAAAACCCTCAGAGTCACAAAAGCTCCACTGACATCCTCATTGCCAGTCATCACCAAACCTATGTAGTAGGGCATAATGGCCACTACATCAATGATACTCATCACACTCCTGACGAACCGGTACCGGCTGGGAGCTGCAAAAAGTCGCATCAGGTATTCAACTGTAAAAATCATAACACAAGCAGTGTCCAAGCAGAAGAAAGCCATTTCATACCTATCCCCACATGGCTGTTCCTTGTTGCCGGATATTGAGCCACATGGTACGGTTTCCACCACATTGGTGATCACAGAAACAGCAATAAAGAAGCCTGTGACATAATAAAAGACTAAGGCTAAGGTGCTAGTATGAGGGTTCTCAAAAGCTCGCCACATGGTCTGCCGGAAGCTCAAGGCTGGCATAGAGTCTTGTTTATTCTCAGAATCCGCATCATCCATCAATCGCTCAGCATTTTCCCGCTTTCTATCCTTGTACTCTTCATAACAGCAGTCTCCGATGATATCAGGCAGGATCCCATAAAAAGCAAGCTCTTCATCATAAGCGGAGATACACTCATACCTTGGATAATGTAGTTTACCAGTTCTATAAAAGTTTAAGATACACCTAAAGACATCAGGATCCCGGTCAAAAAAGTATTCCTTGGTGTCTTCATTAAAGAAGAACTCTTTTTCGGTGCTGCCAAGTAGAGTATCAGGGTATCTCTCCAAGGTAGTCCTCCATGTCTGGAAACGTCGGCCACTCACATTGAGAATGATTAGCTCATCTTGGCGCTTATTTTTTTCTGATGGGGCCAGTGGCATGGGACAGTTGGCCACTGGCATCCAACCTATGGCAGCTGCCCTGGCAAAAGGAAGCCATGCTGCTACACCCGCTGCCATGATGGATCTGGTCTCAGGATGGAGGAAAGCAGTTCTTCAAGACGTCCTTGGCTTCAGTTCAAATCCATCTAAAAATACAATTAAAAAGACAGTGCAAGATAAGTGCCATTTTTTGCCATCTGTGTAATGGTTAAGTGTAATTCTTTCTAGCAACACTTAGTCATAGTGAAGGGGTGGGAGGTAAGAATGCAATAGGGTTTCACAGAGTCTTTGAAATACATGAGACAATGTTTTAGTGTTAACAAATGCACCGCAGGACTTCTTAACAACATCTTCACAAGAACTCCTGGAATCTAAATCTAGAACACAAGAACTCCTGGAATCTTGAATCTAAATAAGATAATCAACTGCCAGAAGCTTGGTGTTCTGGATAAATACTCCAACTTTAACATACAAAAGCATCAAGTATATTAAAATCATGATTTTGGATTAGTTTGTCTCATACCCCCATGCTTATCCATCCACAGGGAGTATAAAGAAAGGAGGCAGGAGGTTCATATTGTAAGAAATACAATAGGTACCTGGATCGTGTAGTTTCAACTTGCTTTCCCTTTTCAAATTTAAACCTTGGTAGTCCAATGAATTATTGTTTAAAAATACACGTGATAATCAGCATAACAAAGTTATATCATTATTATAGGTTAAAATTTTGAATAGTAAATTATTCTTCATTAAACTCAATTTAAAGTGGCACCAACATGTTAATTTAAATTTGCTTCCTCATAAACAAGCTTAAAATAGCTTTCCCCAAGAGTAAAGGCTGAGCCTTAATTGAAAAAACACTGATATTAAGCTAGGCATTACACAACGTGTGTGGAAGAACTATTCTTACTAGAAGGCATACCTATGTATACCGTAGAAATAGGTTGGAGATATCGTTTTATATGTTTTTGTTTGGTTTGGTTCAAATCCACCATAAAGTGTTAAGCATAAATGAAGTGAGAATAATTATAACAGCTTAGCAATTATCCAGCACATTGTTAAACAACTAGGGGAACACCATTGCACAGATTTTTGATTAGGCAATTGACTTTTGCTGGCCATTAAATAGTTTTGGACAGTAGTTGAACAATATTTGTATCAGAGTGCTAAACCATTATAACAGACCAGAGTAACAAACTAATTTCCCAAGAGCTTCGGAATCTCCAGCATTTCTGTAAATAGTCTCTCTGAAAAGGGCACCTGTACCCAAAAACTCACATATCTTCCTTGTAGGTTTCATTTCAAAATACAGGGTTGGATTTGGTTTTCAGAATATACAAATGCGGATAGCTACACAAATGCCAGGTTATGTCCAAACCTCCAATTCTAGAGAATCAATGGGGAAAGAATATTTTAATTCTTACCCCATTTTGAGAGGCCCACTAAGAAAATGCATAGTCTATACCCAATATATGTATAATAATACCTCAATATTCAATTACAGAATCTTAATCTTCCTAAAATGTGAAGTCATCTTTTAAAACTGCAGTCATACTCTTTTTGTAGTTCACCTTTCATTTCCTTTGCATTTTCATTCAAATATACATGGTCTGTTGCTCTATTTTATGAATTTGGATGTCATATTTCCACTTTATGGTCTGTAAAATGATTTGCAATCGATAAGATAGTCTACTGTATTTTTTGGAATATAAGATGCTCCAGACTATAAGATGCACCTACCTTTTTTGGTGAAGAAAACAAGAAAAAGAAATCTGCCTCTGCCTCTGCCTCCCAGCAATTTTGCCTCATTGCAGCAAGTAGCAAACAGCCTGCTTTACTTTCGTTTTTGTTTTCAGCCTAGCTTGATTAGCACAAGAAAAAAAAAATCTGCTCCCAGCAATTTACCTCCTTGCAGCAAGCAGCAGAGCCCTGCGCAATGGCAATCCCTGCAGCCTGAAACAGCTGAAAGTCGGGGACAATCAACTTGTGCTAATTAGGCTGTGCTGAAGCTGAAATGGGCTGTTTCTTCTTGCTGCTTGCTGCAAGGAGGTAAATTGCTGGGAGGCAGAGGCCATAGGGTGGGGGCCAGTGGGTGGGCGGGGCTACATTCGGTGTAAAGATGCACCCAAATTTTCACCCCCTTTTAGGTGGGAAAAAGGTGTGTTTTATATTCCGAAAAATACGGTAATTATTTAAAGACATGAAATATTCATGCAAGTCTTGACAGAACCATTATACTAAAGCGGGGGGTATAGAACTCGGCACTCTGGTTGCTCTTGAGTTGTATGTTCTTAGAAATCTAAATCATATGCAAATAAATAATACAAACTTTATAACATGAATAGTTTTGTGCAAGCCAACAAAATTGACAGTTTTAGCAAAATGGCAGAGCCTCTAGCAAACAGCAAGTCACAAGAATGCTATTAAGTTGTTGACTAATATCTGACCAGTTGCATAGCCAATTTTAATAGCATAATACACAAATTGGATGGAAATATAAAGCTAAAGAGGTGAAGCCATATATTGAAGTGAAGGCTTGAATCTTAATGTTTGGCCTGCAGGATTGCTTTTCTTCAGCTGTTTGAATGAGATGTTCCCAGTTATCCCCAGAAAGGATATATTTCTGCAGTGCTCTCCATCCTCCTCAACACCTGGTTACCTATCTATCAATTATATACTTGACATTTCAAAGCTACCAACAGTTTTCAAAAGCTTCTTTACACATTTCCTATCTACTACATTGATAGATGTTTTGTTACTTACTAAATAACATTCAATGTTCCATGCTCAGGTAATCCTGTTTGGATTATTATAAGGTATTACAAATGGAGCTATTTCTGAAAATACTGCAGCAGTTTCACTAAATACATAATATCTCTGCAAGATCAAGTATGTAGAAACCAGGGCAATATTTTGATAGCTCCACTGGTCTTCAGTTCAATTGCAGATCCGATTTGAAATGTGGGTTTCTTACTTTTAAAGCCTTTCTAGACTTCAGATCTTAGTATCAAAAGAAGTTTTTCATCCTACATGTTCCCAATCAAACCTTGATTTTACTAAAACAATTGTTTTTTATTTTTCCCATGTATGATGTATTTTTATGAAATAAAAGTCACCACTCACTTATGGAATACTCTCCTCAGAGAGCATACTGTAGTGCCTTTATGGTATGAGATTATATTATTATTATTATTATTATTATTATTATTATTATTATTATTATTATTATTATTATTTTAATTTGATTTATATGCCGCCCTTCTCCGGAGACTCAGGGTGGCTTACATTGTGCTAAGCAATTATTACATTTTCATAACACATTTTTGAGTTTTTTTAAAATAGTATTTTAGTTCTAGGTATTTTTTTTTAATCCCTTTCTGCTTTTCAAATTGTTGCAATGTTTGGGAGTCTCTGTTCCCTAATATAAAATAGTCTTGTGATTTTGCTGCAGTGTTACAGTGGTTATATTCTTGAGATGCAAATATATTCAATTTGAAGATTTGGCTAAAATTTAATGCAGAGCATCAAATCAGTTTTGATATCATTGAATTGAATTAACAATTCAATGGAGTTTGGGATACTTTTTTTACATTTTATGTATTTTTCTAGAAAAATACATATTGAATCTACCTGTTAAATGAGCTGCAGTGGCACAGTGGTTAGAGTGCAGTACTGTAGGCTACTTCTGCTGACTGCCGGCTGCCTACAGTTTGGCAGTTCGAATCCCACCAGGCTCAAGGTTGACTCAGCCTTCCATCCTTCCGAAGTTGGTAAAATGAGGACCCAGATTGTTGGAGGCAATATGCTGACTCTGCAAACCGCTTAGAGAGGGCTGTAAAGCACTTTGAAGTGGTATATACGTCTAAGTGCTATTGCTAAGTGCTTTTGCTAAATGGATGAAGTTGGCTATCCAAACTGAATTGACTTCATTTCTCAAATTAAGTTAACGATTTAAATTAGATCATACCTAATTAGCATGTGTTTACTATATTCAATATTTTGTTTACTCCGGACATTTCAAAACATTTTGATTATTTGTTTTCATAACAATATATAGTCTCTCTTTCCTTATGCATGTAAATGTGATTTGGTCCACTATTTGGTCTATGAGAACCTCATTGTCCATTTAGCTTATTTAACTGATAGTATTTTACTGTCAGATATCTTACATGTATAGAGAGTTCTATAAATTCTATTAGCCTGGCTAGGTGGCTCAGTGGCTAAGACGCTGAGCTTGTCAATCAGAAAGGTCGGCAGTTCGAATTCCTAGTATAGGTCTCCTGCATGAGCAGGATGTTGGACTAGACGGTCTCCAAGGTCCTTTCCAACTTTATTACTGTTATTATTATTAAGTATATTTTGACAGTGAAGGAACTGATGTCAACATCAGTTCATATCTTTGAAATGTTAAATAAGAATAGAAAGTGTCACTTTTGCTAAATCACTGCAAAAACTGTCTTTAAAACAATTATCTGGCAATTAAACAATTCAATGATATATTTTTTAGAAATCAAATCAGCTGAAATGCAGGATGACAAACTAGTGAAGAAAAGCTAAGCCAAGTCCATGATTTATTTATAACTGATATTAGATTTGTGTATCATCTATCTCATCTAAAGATATTTATTAGTTAAATTAAATTTACTTGCTGCCTATCTTGCCATGGGGAAACTCTATTCTATATACCATACAAATGTATGTGTTTTTTTAATACAGTAGACATTTTGAAAATTGAAATATTGGAATAGTTTTGAAATCACATTTGTTAAAAAGAATTTATGTGCTTCCATACACTTCTAGTAAAAGACATCACATTTATTTTCAAATTAACAAGGGAAATGAAAAAGACAATCCAAGGCCTTCATTTATGATCAGGAATAAAAGCAAAAAAGGTGAAAGGTGAAATATAATGTATTATTTCATTTAATATCTTAAAAATCAAGGTATTAAAGCTAAAAGTGATATCAATATTTAAACCACTTGTTAGAATTTTAGAAAGAATCTCAATTCCATGCCCATATTTATTTGCAAGACCCCGCATATACAAGCATAATTTGGTATTTCTTTTAACAATTAAGATAATACAATGACAGCTGATATGTATTCAAATATGAAGAGCTTCTGTTTTTAACCATGAGCTGTCCAA